AAAAGAAAAAGAAGAAAAAAAAAACTTTCTGAATCCAAACTTTTGAAGAGTAGTGCATACATACACACCAGCTGAATGGTACCCTAATAATAATAAAAACAATAAATAAATAAAAAATTATTATATACATATTATATATACACACACACCTATATATACATATATATATACACACACACACAATTATTATTCATAATAATAATAATAATAATAATAAGTAATATATAATAACACATTTTATCTCTTTTTTAATGTTTTTATTTATTTTTGCTATCCCCCAGCCCTATATTTTCATTGATTCATACTGGTCACTAGACATAGCAATTTACACAGTCGATGCAAAGACATTTGAAACACATAAATATTTATTTTGAGACAAAAAAAATAATTTTACTTTTTTTTCGTTTTACAGAATAGCAATTGGTACTGCTATTAAATATCCACATAACATCATAGTATTTACAGTATTGCTACTAAAGTAATACATTGTTTTTATCATATGAACTCAAAATGTTTGTCTTACTTTCTGACAGACAAACTACACGTCTTTATGACCAGGCAACACGTTTTGAGATCTACAAGAGGTCATTTTGACAGTCTAAAATGAAACTCAAAAACACTACATGAAATAAAGGATCCTTTATGTTTTTTTTTTTTAAGGTGTTAGCTAGGGGTCATCATATGGATCTAAAATACAAAGTTAATTAGCATCGTTTGAAAAAAAGCATGTAACAGAGGTAAGTGTTTTCCTTTGCACAATGAGTCTCAGTAGTCTGAACTGATGCACGGTTTACAACAGAGTAAAATGCTTTGTTAGAACCAAAACACTGGCTTTAGTGTTGTTTGTGTCTGTGCACTGCTGAATGCAAAATATGTTGGGTGTGAATAAGATTAATATAATCTGACTGCAAATATTTCTGATTGTCATCCATTTAATCACAATGGGAAGAAGAATGGTGTATATTTAACATTCACAACATGAAAGCAAGTGAAAGTTCAGACACGAAGATAAACACTAACACATCTTTCACAGCATCAGGTGGGTGGTCTGGACGATCAGGGTGGCACCATCCACCAAAACCCGACTCATTCAGACGCTCATTCTGTTGTTGCACCATTCATACTACTTCCTTTTCATCCTAAAAACCACACGCAGGAAACGGCATTCTAGAAGTGCTTTTTATTAGCTCACATAACCAAGTTCACACAAAGTGTTTTCTTTTTCAACTGCTCATATGCCCCTAAAATAAGAGAGGTACCCACATCTTTGAGCTCCTCGCAAACCTGTGTCCTTCAACTATAGAGAGCTTTTGGACTTCCACACCAGGCGAAAGTCTGCCAGATAGTTGTTAGTTGGGCGAGTAACCCGTCTGTAACCATGAAAACTGTTACTGTGGTTGCAGACACAATGAACAAGAAATCTACACTGCCCATGTACATTCACTGGGTCACATCTGTGGCTCATGAAATTATTTTTGTGTGTGTGTGCTTAAAGGACAACCTTTCCTAACCTGCAGGGAAATTCTATATTGAATTTGAATATCAATATTGAATATCAAACATATTGGTTGCTAATAAATAAAAGCAGACAATTACTGAAATACTGAAAGCAGCAATTATGAGGCCAAGCGCTTGAAGGAATTTGATTTACATTTGCAAAACTAGGCTAGTTAATGAATTCAGGATTCTGATCACTAGACTAGATCTTTAGCTATCGAACCACATTGCCACAACTGATAGTTGCAGAAAAAAAAAAAGGTTTTGAATACAAAACTTCAATTGAATAGCTGCTGAATAAAAGGATACTCTTGAAAATAATCAGAGCCAAATATGGAGAAACTGGAATACATTTGTAAGAGCAGCAACAAACTTGGTGATCATTAGTAGGTTTTGGCCCAAAACTGCTCAAGTTGCTTCAAGACATGGTATCAGTGATTTCAAGGAATCAGGAGGCCAAATGGTTTCACTTCAGGCCAAATTGTTCAAAAGTTATAAGCAAATACTTTTGACCAGTAGGTTGTAGATTTTCCTTGAATGAAATGCATAGTTCAACCAAAAAAAAATCTGTATGACTTTTCCTTTTTCTGTGGATCATAAAAGATGATGTTTTGAAGAACATTGGGAACCAAACAACACTGGAGCCCAGTTGACTTCCTTTGTGTCTCAAAATGTCTTTTAAGTCCCGCAAAAGAAAGTCAAACAGGCTTGGAAGTACATGAGGGTGAGTAAATGATCACAAAATTATTTTTTAGGTGAACTATCCATTTAACTGATCTAAAGATTTGTAAGCAGCCCATTTTCTAATCAAAAATCCAAGATGGCAGCTAAACTAATAGCTACTAAAGCGTCTGACAAGCTCAAAATTGGTTTAAGGGCTTCTATAGACAGACAAATAATAATAATACGAAAACCAACACATAAAATAAGGCATGTCCAAAACTTCACTGCTTGATCTGTCAAACGTGACAACTACACATTTGGGCCATAATGTTCACAATCCATGGATCAAAACCAAGTATGTAAATAGTGCAATAGACAGATCTGTGCAACTTAGCGTTTAATGCTAATTCACAGTGGAAGATGAAGATTGACAAATTCAAAACCCAAAAGCCTCTGAAAAAACATCTCCCTTTTTCTTTCTGTTGCATGGATTGTATTTACTCAGAGAATCCAAAGCAAGCCTGCAGAGATTGAGTGTGACGGCAGTGTGAGCAGCAGTGGCAGTGCATTAACCTTCAGACCGTCCATAAAGCAACAAATATCTTCAAGTTATACAAGCAACTAATAACCCCAAGCAGAAAACAGCTATAAGAGTGACCGAATAACTTGAATATCTCCATATTATCATTTCAAGCAATGAGGAAAAAAATGGAGCAAAGTTCCAAAAATGCTCTACATTTTCCATCAGTTCTTGTCAAGAACAAATAATCTATATTCAGACCAAGTCAAAATGAATCCAACTTTCTTCATTAAGAAAAATCCTGGCCTCAGTGCACATCATTAAAAAAAAAAAAATAATAATAAAATTTTGTCCTCATAAAATGTGTAACAACTCTGCCTATGAAATGACTTTCCTTTTTGCTGATGTCACTAAGCACTCTTATATTTTAGCACAGCCCCTTCACCACCTGTCTCCATTTTGGCATTTAACGCTCACTTTTCACAATTAAATCTTGGAAAAATTCAACTCCCGCCCTATATATTATCTCAATAAAAATCCTATTTCATCAGAAACAAATCAAATATGAATGCCATTTTCCATTTCCCTTACATGAAACCTCACTGAGAATTCAATAAATCTCCCGAGCTACGAAAATGATCACATCTAAGCAATACCATTTGTCTTTGGGAAGCTAACATTTGTTGCTAAAGCTAAGATCTCCTGCTTACCATGTGATGAGCCTGCCAAAGGCTTCACACACTGGGGATCCGATTCGACAGCATCACAGACAGCTTGTCCTCATCTAATTTCATCTCTCAGCTACATCCGTAATGATAAATGCTGAGAGGGAAAAATTAAAACCAACATTTTACCGTCGGTTTACCCTTTTGGAATTCACAGCTATCCGATGGCTCAACTAAGGTTAGACGGTAAAACATGTCTGATGTGTGGCTTCATATTAAGTGCTTCAAAGACCGGCCATTCACAACCACAGATCTCCACTTACCACTCTCAGGCTCGAGAGCAGCACTTAGGCTTGTGCTTTCCAAGAAACTAAACATCTATTCGGAGTAGCACTGCATAACAGATATTCCTACATTGCACAATTTCCTCTTGTTTTTACACTAAAAACCAGAGCAAAAAGAAACACATGTGGAATATGTGTTTGTGATGAAATGAGCTAGTCTAGCGTGACTAGGCCCAGAAGTCTGTATTATGCACAAACAAATTCAATACACGCATGGACGGCCTGATATTTATAGTCCAAAAGGGCAGCTTTCTCTAAAGGCAATTGTCCGAACTCAAAACATGACTGTAATGGAACGATTCTTCCTGTTTTCAGGTCTGTTAGGAGGCTGTTTTGTTCAGAGGAAATTTCCCAAAGGGATTGATGAAGATGTTAAAGGCAAAGTGCGTAATTTCTTTTTTTCTCCAAATGGAATTGCAAACAGGTTACTCGAAAGTTCGTCCCCATCTCCCATTGGTCGGTCAAACTGCTAGTCCTGCCCCAAACTCAACCCATTGGCTGATTGTGTAGGGTTGGTTGGGATGCTCAAACTATGTTTTTTATGTTGTTGCATATGAAGTTGGGTTTGTAAAACGTATTTTAACAGAAAATTAACATATGGCTTTAATGCAAGGGAAACATGGATTTGCTGGCTTAACGAGGATTTTAAAAGGTCACGTGCTTCCTTTTAAAACAGCGGAAATTTGTCGCTACCCTCCATGGCCCTGACTAACAATTTGGCAGCACGAATCTCTGAAGCCAAAGATAAGTGCATCCATTCACACTGGCAGTTTGACAGCCTTTGGAATAGCATTGATTGAAAAAGTCAAAAACGAAATCTGAGTTTCTATGGCTTTAACCTATTTCAGCTGAACTGTTCCCGAATCTATTGCAGTATGACAGCATAAGGAATAGAATTAGTTCTCTGAAAAGGTCTATATTGAAAACGCGCACACAAACACACCAATATTTATAATAATAACATATTTGGGCAATAAATTCTAGATGCCAAATTTATATATAGCAGTAAAATAGCTGAGGTGCTCTCGAAAAAAAACAAAAAAATCAATCATTTTGGGAACCTTCAGTATAAATAAACCGAAATAAAATGAAAATAAAAATTCATAAAAATAAATTAATTTTAAAAATAAGCAAAATAAAGTACACTTTTAGCAGTGGATCCGTTTGTAAAGGAAATCGTGTACTGAGAGCTAAACAACTTCTGATGGAAAAATAAAATTAAATAAAATTAAAATGCACATTCAGAAGTAAATCTGTTTGGAAGGGAAATCATGGAGAGCTAAACAACTTCAGATGGAAAACAATAAAACAAAATAATAAAATAAAATAAAATGCACTTTTAGAAGGAAATCTGTTTTGAAGGGAAATGGAGAGCTAAACAATGTTTTTTAATTATTATTGTAATATATTGATCAAAGTAATAGCACTACTGCATAAAGTATGTCTAAAGGGACTGCACTACTGTTTTCAAGCAACGGAACTGCACAGCAAAATGACTGACCACTCTAAGGGCACTGAGGGGTCGTGCTACTGTAATATTCAGACCCTGTGGTCAACACCTACAGTACAGTACAAGGCAACTAAGATCTACAGGCAGTAGGTCTGGTCCGGATGGGTGCAGTGCATTCGGATGGGGTGAATAGGGGGTGTAAGAACCAACCTATTGGATTAGTTTCACCATCATTGCACTTTGGGTGCACGGTTTGTATCTATTCTTATATTCAAAGGTCACTGGGCAGCAGCAGACAAACATGTAGGCCACATTTTGGAGGGAAAAAAAAACAAAAAGAAAAAAAGAAAAATAATAATAGTATCCAAAACATGATCTGTAATTCTATTTATAATGGAGGTTTACAAAATTTCAAAGTACACATGAAATAATTCTGAAAGCGGGCAGTGCATCAGAGTTCTTCCGATTCCGTACATCTTTCCCATTATCCAGAGACCTGCATTCGATTGGTCAGTGAAGAGGTGAGCCATGTGACCTGCATCTAGACAAGCATGTGGATCTCATTGTATTCATCCCGTCCATCTTCATCAAAATTGGGCGAATCCTCATCAGCATCCAACTGCAAGAACAAAAACTGCATTTTAAAATGAAATCAACACCAGGTGGATTTTCTCAGCTGTCTGCTTGTGTTCAGATCATCAGACAAACATGAATACAACATGAACTCACCGCTGCAAGCTCTCTCTCCTCAAAGATCCTGGTCAGGATGAGTCTACGCAGAGGTACGGTCATGATTAGGATGAAGGGAAAAGCCAGAGAGGCTACAGTCGACTTCACCACCCACAGCAGGGCGATACACAACAACTGAATGATGGTGAACATATTCATACGCCATGTCTTCACCTGTATGTGAAACAAATCATGCAATGATGAATTACAATAAGGTCTAGTGAAAAGCTTCTATTTTGCATTTTTCTAATTTATTTTTCTTCTTTTTGTAAATTGTCAGACACAAATTTGCTTATTTCATAAGTGACCTAGAAATAGTGCGTATTTATATTACCTCCTAAGATTTTTTTACATTTGTTTATTTCAAAGTTTAAATTAGATGTTCAATCATAGATTTTCAATGTATTCTCAGACTTTTGGACCCCACTGTACATGTGAATAATATACAGTGTTCAAATTTGTCAAATATGGTTTGTAATAAAAATTTTTAAGGTTGTGTTAAAAAGTGCAAAATGAACTGATGATTTGTGCGCCACTTTGTGGTGCTTCAAAAGCTTTCAAACAGAATCCACATGTCAATTTAGTACAAACTTCTAGCATCTACCATGTAGAAATCAAACACAAACACACAAACCCAATTCCAAAAAAGTTGGGCCACTGTACAAATTGTGAGTAAAAAAGGAATGGAATAATTTACAAGTCTCATAAACTTATATTTTATTCACAGTAGAATATAGATAACATATCAAATGTTGAAAGTGAGATATTTTGAAATGTCATGCCAAATAAATAAGCTGTCATCGTTGCCATCACTACTACCTCAAAGTCTCAGGAAAAAGTGGTTACCTTGGTAACATAGATGTGGTCAGGGTGATGTTTTGCGGGTGTGACCATGAGTGTGATTCGCTCATAAAGCTGGATACCAGTAAGAGACGTGATGCCCATGTACAGAAATATTCCAAACAGCACAGCCAGAGGAATATGTCGTAGCACATCTGTCATCACTATAGACAACCCTGCACAGAGGTGATGGGATTGACAGAATAAAGATTTTTTTCCCACAATTTAATTTAATGTAATCTTATTCTCTGAAAAATGTTAATGTCAAGTAGGAAACTTGAGTAGTCTGAAATATAAAACAGATGTCGTTAATACAGCAATAATCCACTCAAAACCATGCGTTACAGTAAGTTTACCATGGTTTTACTGTCACATATGCACAACGTGATGCTGAGTATGAACCCATGATTTTCAATAAATATTTTAATTTTATATACAGATAATCAGATTAAACTGTTCTTCCACCTATTAAGTACATATAGTCACATACATAGTTAAGTACATTATTTGAAATGTAGGATGTTCACGATTGCCAAGCAACGCAGCAAATTTCTGGTGTGTTCATTGTAATTGCAGGTTTTGGAGTAGTAAAAACTTCTGTCAAATTCATAATTGCAACTGCAAGCTCTGACTTCTCCCTTTTGACTGTTTTAAAAATGGTCATATAAAAACAAATAAAATGGCAGCACCCTTAACAGCTAAAGGTAGTTAACTACTTTTAAACGTACTACCATTTGATGTTATTTTATTATAGCTGATGCTACCCAATTAATGTGATTTAAATTAATGTGTAAATTAATGTTATTAAATATTATACCGTCATCAATAACCAAGTCACACATGAAACCTCGATGCTGTTACTAGCATTGCATAGTAACAAGTTTGGGCTCAGTAAGATTTTTTTAAAGAAATTAATACTTTTATTCAGCGTTAAACTGATTAAAAGGGACAGTAAAAAGGTTACAAAAATTATATTTCAAACAAATGCTGTTCTTTTGAACTTTTATCAAACAATCCTGAAAAAAAAAATCTATTTTTTTCCAAACAAATATTTAGCAGCACAACAGTTTTTTTAGCATTGACAATAATAAGATTTTTTTTTTTTGAGCAGCAGTCAGCATGAATGATTTCTGAAGGATCATGTGACTGAAGACTGGAGTAATGATGCTGAAAATTCAGCTTTGATCACAGAAATAAATTACATTTTGAAATAATTTAAAATGGAAAACTTATTTTAAACTGCAATAATATTTAATGTATATTTCACTGTATTTTTACATAAAAAGCTTCTTACGACTCCAAACTTTTGAGCAGTAGTATGTATAGAATACATGGTCACAGGTGCACTAACATGGCTCATCCAGTTAGTTTTCTGTCAATATCTGTTTTATAAATGTGTGTGTGTGTGTGTGTTTCTTACCCACTAGGATAGCCACACACATCCCTGTCACCCTTTGCTCTTTAACTTCTTGGATCATGGGCTTCTCTCCGGGGGCAGTGGCTTTGCTCATGACTGTCAGTGCATTCACGTGAGTCACCGAGCGCACAGTGGCGGCAGTCAGCCAGGGCAGACCAAAGAGTGGGCAGATAGCTCCCAAAGTCACTATCAGAAGCAGGTCGAGATGAAAGCCAGAACCCTTGACCAAACGCCGCTCCTTCTTGCTCACTATCAAGCTGCAGACGGGACAAATTGATGCAATAAATGCAATGAGCCACAGAACCATTTGAATTGTACTGCATTTCCATCTGAGCTTAGACAGAACATCGCACGATCTGTTAGCTTACTCACGTGGTGATTTGAGTCTCCATGAATATGAGGATAAAAACCAGCAGGGCCGGGATCACTGAGGCACCCATCATCCAAACAGGGAAAGGCTGTTTATCTCCAAACGGGCTGACAAACCAGCTCCGTTTGTCCGGAGATGTGACCGAGAAACCAGAGGGGACATTCAGCTTCTGCAACCACAAAAAAACACAAGTGCTCGTATCCCAGATATCCCAGGATTCATTGGTTACAGTGCTCTGCCAAACCAACCACACTGTAATACAGCCACGGAAGAAACCTGCCTCCAATTACAGGCCAGAACTTAATAAGAAGAGTATGCTGGGAGAGGAGTTTCTTTGCTGTAATATACATATATTGCACGTGAGAGTTTAACAGTGCGGTTACCTGTGTGTATGTATCAGGAATGGTGCAGTCCACCAGCACAGAGATGAGTATAGAGATAGGAATCCCAAAATCACCAATAATTCGTCTGGCCTTTGATAATAACAGATGATACACACACAAACAGAGGATGTCAAACTTTTTAGTCAGCTCAAAATGTTTGCTCACAAGGAATCCTAACCACAAAAAAATGTTGTAATCAGCAATTTTGTTGTTTTTCAGTAAAACTAAATGAATTTATTTGAAACACACACACACACACATATGTATATATATATATAAATATAAGTGTGGGTGTATATATATAT